AGACGGAATTGTTGGTCTAACATTGATTTCCTTTACCCCCACCTCTTCTATGGTGAAGGATGTCCCCATTGGTAGCTCACTATTCCAGGAGGAAGGATGGATTATTTATATGTATTTCAAGTGCTTGTCCTACTTTACAAATGTGAGCAGACCACAAAATGTGTGTTTACTTTGGAATCATTCACTCCCCAAGGAGAGCGGGCAGGAGATTGCAAATGCACAATTGTCCGGGCCCCTTTTGTTTGGTTTCCTTATTATGCAATCATATTTAACATAATTATTTTGTTTTTGTTGTCTTTTGGTTAGGAAGAAGGAAGGGAATGTATGTGAGGATTTTAATGAAAGTACCATTTTCCCCCCGAGGGAAATGGTTCAGCATTTGCCTCACTGGGGAGACAGCTTGCCTCTGCCCAACACAAAAATTTCCACCAGCTATGGTTGCTCTGGAGCCCACAACAGACTTCTGTGGCTCGGAGGCTCAGGTCTCAGCAGGGTGACTCAGACTAAGAGTTTTGTCTGTGTGCTGAGATAATTGACCCAGGCCACAGGCTGGTGCTGGGGACTTCTAGCCTGTACCTCCTGTCTCCTATAGAAGAGAGGGAAAAATCTACCTTGTGACTTCAGGTGGACTGTGATGAACTCCTGGGATGTCTGCTGTTGTAATGAACTGATTTCATGTCCAGTTTCAGGACGTGGAAATTATCAGAATCTGCTTCTTTTTCCCCCCTTGGTCCAATCTGTTGGAGCTTAGCTCAACTAGGAGAAATTCCAGTGAGGATGAACCTCTCTTCCCTCCCCTTTCTAACTATGCTCTTGAACATGGTAGCCACTAGCCACACATGGTTATGCAAATTTAAGTTAACTAAAATTAAATGCAACTAAAAATTTAGTCCCTCAGTTGCATTAACTACAGTTTGTTCTTAATAGCCATATGTGGTATGTGACTACCATATTGGACAGCCCAGATGTAGGACATGTCCATTACTGCAGAAAGTTCTGCTGGACTGTGTAGCTTTGTAGCGTTGCAGACCTAGGATTCAATCCTCTCTTGTCCTGCAGTGTCCTGTTCCTTTGCAGTGTCTCTTGCTTGTGTGTCTACCATAGAGTGCAAGCTCACTGAGGGCAGCACTGTGTTGGTTTGGTTTTGCTTGCCATGCTTCCTGCAGTGCGGGGCTCTTCACAGTACTCGCTTGTTGAGTACAAAAGTAGGTGCATGGGTGGCCGAACCAGCAGTGTTTGTGGACCCACAGTAATCCCTTTGGGGCTCTGGAGGTTCAGGTGGTCCTATTAAGGCATGGTCACTCTATCAAAATTCCATTTTATAAAACTCATTGCCTTTTTTTAAAAAAAACAAACAAACAATCACAAACACACACAGTTCCTAAAACAAATGAAAATAAGACAGCACAGATGATTGAAGATGGTCCTTAGCAAGGGCCCTGTGCTGCCTCGGAACTTTTTTATTTGGCCTCAGGGATGAGTATTTTCCAGACGGAACCTTTTGGGAGCTCTTCTGAAGCCGGAGGATCTCCATGTGTTGGGGTAGGTGGGGCTTCTTCTGAAGCACTTTAACCTGTCTGCTGTAGACAGAGTCTTCCCCTGGTTATTAAGCTGGTCTCTGGCGTCTATGTGGCGCCTATGTTGGCCCAGAGAAGGCCATTTCCAAACCAAATTTATGGCCTGTAGTTCAATGCCACGGCGACGCCTGCAGCTGTCATTCCTTGTGAGCTGAGGAGGAGACAACAGGGTAACCTCCTCGAGTTTTAAAAGAAACTGTCTTTTTTGATCCCTGTTTTTTGGTTTGTTTTTTAAAGGTGAACAAGACCCCTATGCGGAGCTCCTCACAGTAGGCTTAAAGTGGGCAGGGCTGTCCTATCTAGATCTTCAGCAGTTAGTGTCTGGCACCCAGTAGGCTCTTGGCGCACAGTTTTTAACTTTGCGAATCAGTTTTGCAATTGGGTCAGAGTTGTTTTTTGCAGTGTTACTCTGTAACAATGAAAGGCAGTGTGGATTAGTGGTGAGAAGCATGGCTCTGGAGCCAGGCCGTGGGTATCAATCCCAGCATGGACATGTACGTGCTGCTTAATCTTGGAGAAGTTGCCTAAGTCCTCTGGGCTTTCGTTTTTTCATCTGTAAAATGAAGATTGTAACATACCTTGCCTCATAGGGTTATTGTGAAGATTAAATTGTTAGCATATCATAAGTGATATGTAATTATCAGCTCTTATTATTATTACTCTTCAGACTTCAGGTCTGGCTACCAGATCCCTGTGACCAAGGATGAGTCTCTTGATTTTCCCAGGCATTAGAAGGTACAGATAATTTCCATCTTCTTGTGATCATGGAAACAGAGGGTATGCTGTTCCTCGGCGCCTGCCGATTCACATGGCAAAATAACCTAACAGCCAGGTCTTAAAAATCAGGGTGCTGCTTCACATAAGTAGCCCTGACTTCCACGAATAAGGAAAGAGTGTGTGATGACAGCAGGGCCTTCCCCTGCTCTTGGCCAGCCTTGCGTGTGAGGACACGGATCCTGCCGTCTGGCCTGGCGTCTGCTGCTCACCAGGGAGAATGACAGAGCCAGGTCTTGCTTCAGTCTAGGTGGCAGACAGATTGGGAATGGGTCTGAGAGCCATCCTGAGGGAGGGAGGGGGCCCAGCTTTGCTGTTTGCAGCACCTGTGTCCCGTGCCCATCCGGGAGCCTTCAGCCAGGGCTTTGTGAGCCTGCCGCATTCAGCTGGACCTTTGGGTCCCAAGCTTTCGTGGGTGCACAGCTGGTTGGAGGCTGGGAGGGCTGCATTGGCAGAGGGGCCAGGGGTTCGGGGTGGGAGAGACATACCACTCAGCCTCAGAGATAACTCAAGTTCTGAGATGGAGCTAGGGCTGGAAGCTGTGACCACCGCCTCTCACTGTGTTTTCCGGGAGGGAGGGAAAAAGCCCAGAGAATGGGGGTGGAGGGGGTCCCAGGGGTCCCAGGGTAGCAGGAGCCTGGGAGGCCAGGCCTGTCGCATGGCCCCAGCTGGTCCTGAGGCAATGCCGTGTGGGAAATGCCGCGGCCGGGACACAGTCATCGCACAAAAGCTCGAGTGCCCAGCCTTGTGCTCGATGCTGGGGGTGTGTTCCCGGGTAGAATAGACCTTAATCTTGTTTAGTGGGGCCCCGAGTGGGCTTCCACTGCTAGTGCAGCACATAGTCAGTGCATTATCACAAACTACGTTAAGAACCACAAAGGAAAAGTGGGGCGTGAGAGGTTATTACAGGGGGGCCACCCTCACCTGTGAGAGTCAGAGAATGCCTCCCAGAGATGAGGTGAGCCCAGGTCTGAGGTAAGGGTGGGAGAGATGGGAGAAGGAGCAGTGGGTCCAAAGGCCTGGAGGTGGAACAAATGTGGCTCCTCTGGGAAAAACGTAGGTCGGTGCCTGACCAGCAGCAAGCAAGGTGGGGACAGTGCAGGGAGTGCTGAGGCCAGACAGGGGGCCCCGGGGTCAGATTTCCACAGGACAGAAAACATGTGAAGGTCCCCAAGGGCAGTGGACACCACTCAGGGGTTTAAGCAGGGGCCACCTGAGGGGAGTTGAGGCTGGGGTTCGCATGCCCCCTCCTGCTATCCCGTCAGCTCATCCTTCCTCTGTGTGGCAGCCTGGGACGCGGTGGGCTTCCTCCAGATGTGACTCTATATATTATTGACCTTTCTCCCAGAATACTGGGCTCTATCATGAAGCACTCTCAGGAAATTTCCTTTTGGGCTTTGGGCAAGATGCAGGTTGAGCCTGTGAGTGTGGGTGCTCAGGGTCTCTGGAGACAGAGCCACGGTGCACTGTACATCCTGATGAAGCCTGGGGGTTGGTGTCTGCCCTCAGCTGCTCCATCCCTGCGCTGAGCAGCGAGCACCAGGCACAAGGTCAGGGGCCTAGAGGGACTGGTTTTACCGCTGGGAGGCAGTCTGTGCATTAATGAACAGGCTTGGGCTCTCTTGGAATTTGTCCAGTAGGGGTGTGTGTTTCCAGTGCTCCCTTGGAGGGAATGACACTGCCTCCGGACTTCCCTCTGCTATTCTGGAAAAGGGTCAGCAAGTTCTCACCTTGCTTCACACAAAGGGCCTGCAGACACACCTTCCCTAAACCCCGTGAGCTTGGCGTGATTATTCAGTCAACTCTAGCCCCACTGACGGCCACATGTGTGCTCATGACATTGCCCTGCACTGTGGGATATCCATTCCCTCACCCCATACTGAGGAAGAGCCTTCGATGTGCCCAGAGCTCTGCTGTATGGAGGCGGATAAGAGAAGACCCATCTAATCGTGGGCTATTCAAAAGATGCTCATGGATTATATGGCCCAATTATTGTTTTCCAAATGTATTCTGTAGTTGTTAACAGGGCTTCACTGATAAAGGGGTTCATGGTCGAATAAGTTTGGGAGATGCATCATCATAAATGTCTTTAGATCTGGTTACCTATTGCTATGTAACAAACTACCACAAAACTTAATGGTTTAAAACAGCAATTTGTTATTATCTCTCACAGTTCTGTGGGTTGACTGGGCTCAGCTGGGCAGTTCTCATTTGGGGTCCCTCACACAGTTACTTTCTTTCATCTCTTTTAGTTGCAATCAGGTGGTAGCTGCGGGTAGACTCATCTGAAGGTTGATTCACTCACATGCCTCCGTGCCTGGGTTGTCTGGGGATTTCTCGCTGCACATGGTTTCACCACATGCTAGCTTGGGCTTCTTCCTAGCATGGCAGTCTCAGTGTAGTTAGCCTGCTTACATGGCAGCTGGTTTCTGCCTGAGTGTTGCAAGAGGCCTGGGAGGAAGCTATAAGGCTTTGTATGAACTTGTTCAGAAATCCCCAAACCTCACTGCCACAGCATTTTATTGGGTAGGCAAGTTAGTGAAGCCAGTCCAGATTCAAGGGGAGGGAATTAGACTCTACAGCTCAATGGGAAGAGTAGCAAATAATTTGTAGCTATCTTTAATTTCTGGTATGTCTTGGAGATTCACAATGCGTGAGAAGGTATCCAAGGTGTCTGAGAAGTCCTGCAGTAAAGAACCCTGTTTAACTCAGCATTTTCCAAGCTTATTATTATTGTTATGTTTAAAATCAGGAACTCCCTTTCTCATAAAATCGTTTAACTTATATTCTGCCAGAGAGCAGTGGGTAAAATGTTAAGGATAATAGATTTGGGGCTCAATATTACTTTCTAATAAATAAAACTTTCCAAAGATGGAATTTAGAGATTGCTAGAGAATTTCTAATTTGGGGAAGTACCAAAAGAGAGGACTTGAGACGATCTGCATGGGTGAAAAGGCTGAATATCCCAGTGGTAAAAGCTTCGATTTGACTTCCGGCCAGTCTTGGTTCAAATGCACCTCTTATAGCTATGTAACATTGGGCAAGCTACCTCTCTCTAAGCTTTAGTTTCCTTATCTACAAAATAGATGGTTTCTATGTCATAGGGTTGTTGTGAATATGAATGAGATAGATCCTTGTTACTCAGCACAGGTGCCTTCCTTGGTGAGACTTTGTAGCTGCTCAGTTCCCTTCCATGTCTAGGGTTTAATAACTTTGGGTTCATTCTGGACTTGCTCAAACAAACCAGTATTGGAAATCATGGACTTACCCCTAATTTTCTTGCAAGAGTAACCTCTATACCCTTTCACTTTTTCCATTCTAGTTTCTCATAAGTGACCGTGACCCTCAGTGCAACCTCCACTGCTCCAGGACTCAACCCAAACCCATTTGTGCCTCCGACGGCAGGTCCTATGAGTCCATGTGTGAGTACCAGCGAGCCAAGTGCAGAGACCCAGCCCTGGGCGTGGTACATCGAGGCAGATGCAAAGGTGAGTGTGTGCATCTCTGCCCAGTTGAAGAGAGGTGCCTGGGCACCACAGGTTTCTGCACAGTGTACTCCCCGCGGGGAAAGGGGAGCTCAGAATGAGTGTACTTATTTGGTTTGCTATC